ACCAAGAATGAGAACTGACCACTGGATTTAGCAATGTGGAGGTCTCTGGTTTCTACGTTAAGAATGATGTTGGGGGCCAGCTGAGTGGCTCAGTTGGTTAAGAGCTCGCTCAAGAGTTTGAGCTCTGAGCAACAGCGGTTCGAGTACTGGCCCGAGCTGAGCAGCCACTGAGCTGCCAACAGGTAGCAGGATGGCTCAGCTAAAAAAAAAAGAAAAAAAAAGAATGATGTTGGTGGAGCAGTAGAGTGAAAGCCTGATCAGAGTAGATTTGAGGGACAATAGGAGAGCAAGTGGAGACTACAGGGAGTGACAAAAAGTTCTATGGTGAGGCAAGCAGAGAATTGAGGCGGTAGCTGAAGGGGGCATAGGGGGTCATGAATGTGGTTGTTTTTAAGATAACAGATATTATAACATGTTGGAAATAATCCAGTGGGGGAAAAACTTAATGATGCAGAAGGAAAAAGGGAGAATCAGTGAAGCGATGTCCTTAGGGAGGCAGAGGAGGCACAGATTGTACTTTAGCAATAACTTTCTAATGAGCTTGAGGCCTTTAGAATAAAGGTGCATATCTGATCTAATATGATGCCCATTCTTCCCTGCAGTTGGCTAAACCAATGCTTTTAAATTGGCTCAACAGGAGAATCACTGAGGGGAAGGGAGGGTACTTTTGCTTTAGATACTATTATTTATCATCACACATGAGTGGCTGTATTTTGTTACCAACAATTTAATGATGGTAAAGAAATATTCACTTATTCAACAACTACTTATTGGCCTACTGTGCACCCGTTTTAGGTGGCATTCTAGTGCTGGAGATACAACAGTGAGCAAAATAATCATATCTAAAGCATTTTTATTCATTATGTTATAGAGAGATCTGCATGCATTTATTTATAACAACAAAAAAATGTGTTTTAGGTTGCCTTGAATTGTCTCTCTACTTTGTGAAACCCTTGTTTCCTTAAGATTGATAGATTTCATTATCAATGGTGTCCCCAAGGTTGGTTTTGGAGTAGGTATTTGGGACACTTTCTCCATTATCTTCTTTGCCAGGTTTTACCCAAGAGCCCTTTCAAATATATTTAAGTGGTTTTAGAATTTGGTCACTTTTAGGTACATTAATAGGATAGCCCAATTGCCATTTAAGAACTACTCTTAATTGCTTTTAAATGTTACTTAAATGTAGTTACATTCTCTCACAAAAGCAAGTTGAGATCATTATACTATTCAATTTCTCTTCCCTCAGTTTATACACTGAAAAGAGTTCTACATGTGGAAAAGTAAAGAGTATAGAGTTGCTGAGACTGCTTTTCATTAAATTTATAAACTTGAATTTTCTACCTTTTACTAAAGAACACATTCCACCTTGTTGAACCTTTTAAAAGGTCAGCTGCCACTTTGAGAGTGCTTATTTGTTTCAGTCTTCTGCGGCCTTCTTTTCAAGGGCTGTTTCTCTGATTTCCTGGCAGTATACCTATTTCATGGGAAATATTCCTTTTAGAAAAGCACAAAGCCTCTTCTCAAGTTCTCTCTGAATCTCTTCTTCATTCATGTTCACTAGATTTCCTACCACTTTAAATTTTATTTCAGTGTGTCACAGTTTATTTTAGAAAACATACATTTTCAAAAGTATACTGAAAGAGAGAGAGAGAGAGAGAGAGAGAGAGAGAGAGAGAGAGAGAGAGAGAGAGAGATTTTGTAACTTCTGTTAGCCTTGTTTTCTTCAAACCTTACTTCTTTTTTTGTTTTGTTGTGTTTTTTTTTAGCTGAGCCATCCTGCCACCTGTTGGCAGCTCAGCGGCAGCTCAGCTCGGGCCAGACTCGAACCGCTGTTGCTCAGAGCTCGCACTCTTGAGCAAGCTCTTAACCAACTGAGCCACTCAGTCGGCCCAAACCTTACTTCTTAAAGGTGTTTCAAAAGACTCATACTTGTTCTCACATACTTTCAACTGTTTGTATATTGCACCTGTAAAGCATCTAATGCTTAGAGTAATAATTGTATGTGCTTTAGCTTTCCCTTCCTTATCTCTAAATATTTGTGTATCACAGAAGAACTCAATTACATCATGTTCATTATCAGAGATTTGAAACAGCATAGCCTAAAACTTATCTCCCCGAAGCAGTGATACAGTAAAAACAGTCCGTTATAATGTGGCTAGTCTGTAACGTGTGTGTTTCCCTTCTGGCCTACAAAGTCAACTGTGTATTCCTAGTCCTTCCACTGGAGCCTCCTACCATTGGGTGTGGGGAGATGCAGGTGGCCAAGATTTGTAAGAGCTTGGGAGTACTTACTACGCATGTGCCTATATGCATGGAAAAGTTTATGTTCATGTCAATTAAATGTATTATGTGGTTAAAGTGTATTGCAAATCTGGAGTCCTAATAGCAAACAGGATGGGTAATGTTGACAAGACAAACATTCCAAAACTAATACAAATACAGTAACTATGTTTAAAGAAAACAAGGTTTGCCTAAAAGCAGCAGATGAAAACTTCCAAAATATCCATTTACCCCAAAGTGAGTATAAACAGATTAAGAAAAGTCCAAATTTTAGAGAATTAGAAATCCTTTAAGGAAAACTGTAATGAACTCTAATATGAATGAAGAGTTCCAAAGTGTATTTTAGATGAAGCTTTTTGTTTCTCTAAAAAGAATGTTTTGCAGAAAATAAGCATAGTCCCATAAAAAACAGAGAAATCAACCTTGAAAATAAAGTCCCTGAAAACACGCTCCTTCTGTAGGTAGGTTACTTAACTGCTCTGTGCCTCAGTTTACTCTTATCTATATATATGAAATAATGCACTTAGTGGGCACACAGAAAGTACTCGATAAATGGTAGCTATTGTTTTGTGACTTTGTCTCTTCTATGGTAAATCAAGAAACAAGTAATATCACTTGTGTTTCCCTTACCCTCAACTATGAGACAATATTCCAGAACCTCTGGAAAGTTCCTTGGTATTAGGAGCTGCTCTAAGGGTTGGTTGGAAGAGATGAGGAGATAGTTCCTACTATTTTGAGCAAACAGAAGGTGTTGATAGCTCTGGACAAACTTGAGGGCTCCACCATGAAGGAAAGAGGGTTTCTGATAACAGTGGCTTTGGAACTTGAGCATGTCTTTCTCCTTTTAGTTTAGTGGCGAAATAACTGGGACTTATATAATGAAATAACTCACACCTCAGTGCCAATCGCACACCAGAATAGCCTGCGGACCATGGCTGGGCATTAGCAAAGTCTGCCTCTACTTCCCAAAGTGGGAGAATATCCTCCACATTTGCCAAAGGCTGCAGCCTGAGTTTTCAACAGAAACAAAAATATTTTCTTTAGGAATGAGGTGGGTGTTTTTTTGTTGTTGTTTCCTGGTTTGTGGAGTGTTAAATACTGGTGGAGAAAAGGCAGGCTGCTCAGAGGCAAGGCTAGAGGTTTCAGCCAGTAGGTACCTCTTTCCAAACCCTTTCCTTTCTACTCCTTATACCCTCAGCCCACCTGTTTCTACCTTTTTCTAAATACTTTCTCTGCCAAGGCCTTGGCTCACTTTTTGGAAAATGGTTACAAGTAAATGGCACTTGCTAGAGGTTCCTCCATCCAAGCAACAGCAGAAGACACTACCAGGACATTGTGAGAAGCACTATAGGACAACAAAAACTGCCATGTGGTTATGAGAAAAGCGTGGGGAGAGGGTAGGCAGGCAAAATGAGGAAAGGGGGTCAAAACACAAACTTCCAGTTATAAAATAAATAAATCCTGGGATACAACATGGTGACTAAAGTTAATGATACTGTATTGTGTATTTGAAAGTTGCTAAGAATAGATCTTAAAAGTCCTCAACCCAAGAAAAAAAATTATAATTATGTGTGATAATGGATGTTAACTAGACTTATTGTGGTGATTATTTTGCTATATGTACATAAATCATTATACACTTAAAACTAATATAATGCTATATATCAATTACATGTCCCCAAAATAAATAAACTGCCATTGACTGAGGCCTCCCTTCCTCAGCGCCAGCCTCATACAAAAAAATGCAGGCCCGGAGATGACTCAACGCGGGCCAAACGCGAACGCAGCAAACCCCAGGTACCCAGAGCAGACGCCAAGCAGCCCGGGACCCCTGTGGGCATCTCCCGCCCCAAGTTAGTGGCCAGCGCCCAACAGGAAGCCCCGAAGGGGAACTTTGCCATGGCAGCCACATTAACAAGTTGGGCTCAAGGCTGTCCAATGACCAAGCAGGGCCGCGAAACACCCTTTTGAGGCTTGGCAGCTTCCCGGGCTCCACAGAGTTTAACGCTCTAGGAGTTGAACCCAGAGCGGATGCTTCCCTCATCCACGCAGGCTACGGCGGACGAGCCCCTTCGCTCAGGGCTGAGCATGTGACAACAGGCTCATCCTCGCCCCTCCTTTATGCCCCGTTGCCTCGCTCTCCTCACCAGCAGCCTAGAAGCAAGTTCAGAGGCAGGCCTCCCCTGACGAGCGTCTCCGCGCCCCTGATCGCGTAGGCGAGGTCCTCAGGGAGCTACTGTCTCGGGCCTGTCTGCTGCCCCCGGCTGGGCCCACCGCACTCGGCCTCTCTCAATGGCTCCCATTTCTGGTGTCGCTGCAGAGCCTCAAGTGCGTCCCAGCCACTCGCTGCAAAGAGTTAACTAAGTGGAGCCGGCGCTCCCGGGCCAGCTCAGCCAGGCGCCGCGGCGCCCAGGCGCGGCGGTGCCCAGCGCCCCCCGCAGCGAACCCCTGGTCCCGAGCCGCCACTCCAGCGCTTGCCGACATCGGCTCTGCGGATCCCCGGCCCTCCAGGCCCCCTGACCCGACCGATGCCCACCCGCTCCCCTCTCGCCGCCTCCAATCCAGGGCGCTCCTCCGCACGCTGCTCCCCGGCCCCCGCGCGCTCCGCGTTCCTCCCTCACCCCCTCGCTCGCCCATGTCGGCCCCACTCGGTTGGGACTTGATCCGGGACTCCCAGCCCGCGCCTCCCTCCCCGCCGTCTCCCAGGAGGTGCCCATTACCGATGCCCTGGATGAAGACGAAGCCGGTGACCACGAGCACAGGGTGCCAGTTAAACTCGGATGCTCCCCCGTCCCAGCCAAGCCCCTCCCGGTAGTGGAGGACCCAGATGAGGGTGAAGATCACGGACAGGAAGCCGACAAGCAGCGCCGACACCAGCAGCCCCAGGAAGCCCCTGTAGCCGTCCATGGCCATCAGCGCCCCATACTCCGCGTTGCGGCAGCCACAGGGAAGTCGGCGAGGCGACAGCAGCCTCTAGGTACTGGCCTCACGGCGAGTCGCGGGCGTCGACTTCTTGTAGCTGTCTCCGCCCGAGAGGAGGGGCTTTCTCGCTGGCCTGCTGGGGATGTGGGGCCTTAAGGGGCTGGGCAGCTGGCCCTGGTTCAGAAATCCGCCCCACCTCAGGGACCTCTTGGCCGAGAGCTCTAACTGCGCAGTGGCTAACCCGTGTCCCGACATCCAAGCTTGCAGAGGGCTCGAGCAACCGATCCAGTGGATTGTTCAGAGCGAGATCTCCGAGGATTCTATACCCACCACTTTCTTTTAACTCTTCCCGTGTCTCTTCCTTATTTGTGGGGAGGTTGAATAAGGCAGCGGTGCGCACGTCTGATTAACAGATGAGAAGGTCCGTTGGGTGGGGTTGTGTACGTTGATTTTGATTAACGAAGCCTTCTGAGCCCCAGTCCTGGAGGATTGGCTGTCTTTGATGCCAAGAATGCTCCAAGGAGGAACCAGTGAGACGGTATGGGCTTGGCCCTCCCTAGCAAGAAGACTACATGCAGTTTGTGCTTTAAAGAGGGACGACAGACACCTCCTGAACCCCTGGACTTGCCTATATAGTGTGAGAAGGATGGAGCTTGCAAAGTGCCTACCTGCCCAGACCAATTTGGACCAAAGTCTCACCGTGCTGAAGTGTAGCACGCTATCTGCCCTCTTTCCCAACATTATTATGCATTCTCCACTGGACAAGAAAAGTGTCAGTGTTGTCTATTGCTGTTAAAGAAAACGGGGCTCCCGCTGTTAGGACTTCTAGGACGCATTTGAGAACATTCACTTCTAGCCCTCTCCTGTTTCCCATCTCCAAGGACTAGTTTGCTCTGTTGTCTTGTTACCATTTTGAAAGACCTAGAATGGCAGGAAGTAAATGTATGGGAGTGATTTCCACTGGAAAAGACAGGTTTTAAGCCAATAAAGTATGAGCGTCAAGCCCTGGTAGTGGGACAGGATTGAGGGCTAAGAGTGAGAGGCTACCGACTTCATGAGTTTCCCCTTGGTGGAGAGGGGATAAAGCACACGGAAAAGGAGGCTCCCTCTCCACAGTGCAAGGCCATCTGGTCTGGGCTAGCCTAGCCCTCCACTCTAATCCTTCACCACAACCTGACGGACCTTGATGTCCACAGCTGTAAACTTCTCTCCCAGCTCCTGACCACTTCCTTCCACGTCCCTGCCTCTGAGTTCGCCTGACCCCGTCTCTACCCAGAAACCTTCCCTGCATCTTCCTATGTTCCCATTTTATGTCTCCACCCACCTTTCTGTCCAATGCCTGTCTGTATCACTTATCAAGATGTGATATAACCATCTGTTCCTGTGACTGTCTCTACTCCCCAGACTGCCCCTTGAGGGTATTAGCTGTCTATCATGTCTTCTCCTTGGCATATAGTAGTTGCTCAGTCAATGTTTGTTGGGTGATTAATGGAGCCTAGTGTGTCAGTCAGGGTCCTGGCAGGAAACTGATGATACATTCCAGCTGGGCAATTTAATAAAGAATAGGATTAATATTTACAAAGTGTGGGCAGGGTGTGAGAAACCGCAGGGGTTTTGCAGTGCCAGGCCTGAAGGGGAGAGGGCAGTGAACCCTCAGGGAGGAAGAATGGGAGGTGGGCTGAATATTCCAGCCTGACTCTCCTCCCCTACAATCTCCTGCCCAGTCCAAATGGCTGAACTTAATCTGAAGCCTGAGGGCAGTTGATGCAATCCAATAGGTCAGCCTCCCAGGGCACACAGCAGAGTGGAGAAGGGTAAGAGTAGATCCATAGAAATAAAAAGAAACCATCACTGAATTTTCCAGTTTGATTCTTTCAGACATTTTTGGTTCCTGAGTGCTGCAAATATTTCCTGTTTAATTTTATGCTGTTTCCTTTTGTGACCTTTAGCTAGTAATTTTTAAAAACAATGTCATTGTGTTTATCATAGGCAGAAAGAATAGGGCCACGGGGAGAGATGGAGAAAGGAGTTTATCCGTAGGAAAAGTTGCAGCTACCCGACTAGCCAGAACTGGATTCTGATGGCCAAGAGCAGATCCAGGACACCATCTTGCCCCTCAGGTCAATGTTAGCTAATTATAATGGATTACAATATTATTAACATAACAGCCAAGAAAAATCTCCACCCCCTGCATCGCCATGACAGTTCCAACAAGGGCCAAATAAGGACAAAAATCCTTCCTCCCCATGGGAAGGAGTGGTCAGCAAGGACCTGCCTGAGAACACCTATAACGCCACTCCTAAATCTTGAATACTTTGCACCCTCATTCTAATAAAACCCTAAGCCTCTTTGTTCTTCGATGCAGTTGACTTCCTCCTGGTCTGCCCACTCCCACTATTTTGGGAGTGTACTCTTTTCCTTCCTTTTAATAAAACCACTGCTTGTTTGGCTTTCTTTGCATGGCTTAATTCGGTGTCTCTTTGAATTCTTTCCTGTGACAATACCAAGAACCCGTTCTCTGGTAATAATTTTGTCACTATTCTTTTCTCTAAAAGTATCTAGTCTTTGTCCCTAGTTAACTTCATCACCCCTTTGACCCAACACCTTCACCCTTGAGTTTATTTTGCTCCGCAGCAGCAGCAAATAAGAACCTCAGGGACTCCAGACCCTGTTGAACAAAACAGCTCAAGAGAATGAAAACATGGCTGAATGGTATGGGTGTTGTTGAATCATCTTGAAGTTACAAGATAAACTGAGAGAATTTCAACTTTTTTTTTTTTTTAAAGATTTTTATTGGGGAATTGGGGGATGGGAACAGCGCTGGGGAATTGGGGGAAGGGGAACAAACAAGTTGCTGTCTTTTTGTTCTTCAGTCTAGTTGTGGAGGACGTTGCTTCACTGGCCCAAGTTGGCACCATCATTGCGCTCTTCCCCTGGGAGGCAGATCAGTCGCCGGCTTCTAGACGGCTGCTCACGGAGGCTGCTGGCCGCTCACGCTGGCTGCTCACGCTGGCTGCTGGCTACATATGGTAGCCCATGGCAACCCACTGCCACAGGGACTGCAGCCTACGCCGTCGCCAGTGACTCACGACAGCCCAGCTCCAGGTTGAGCTGTTGTTCAGCATCTTAGCTGTGGAGGGCAGTGTCACTGGCCCTCATATGTGGGATCCGAACTGGGGCCCTCTGGCGTCCCAAGCCAGCTCTTAACCAAGGCGCCACTCGGCCGGCCCAGAGCTCACACTCTTGAGCGAGCTCTTAATCAACCGAGCCACTTGGCCGGCCCATCTACCCTTTTTTTTTTTCTTTTAAATTTTATTGGGAAACAGTGTGTTTTTCCAGGATCCATTAGCTCCAAGTCAAATAGTTGATTCAATCTAGTTGTGGAGGGCTCAACTCAGTGGCCCATGGGGGGATCGAACCCACAACCTTGGTGTTATGAGCACTGTGCTCTAACCAACTGAGCTAACCAGCTGCCCTGCTCCACCCTTTTCTACCTTACCTTATGCCCTGGCAGGCTTCTTGCCCACTGACTTCCAATTGGCTTTGGCCAAAGGGTGATGCTGGAAAGAGATCAGAAAGCAGGAAGAAAGAGAGGCTGACCTATTTCTCTCTTTTTGCCCCCTTACCAGGTCATTGTGTTTGTACTGGTTGTGTCCCTTTTGCCATGATAACCTTCAAGTGTCACCTCTTCCACTGCTACAGCGCTCCCTGGGTTCAGTAACACCATGTTCCCTTCCTTCTACAGGCCTATGTGTAGTATTGGCTCTCTGCTCTTGGTTGTCCTGGGTCTTCACCATTCCTTTATTGGGTTCTTGTAAGTCTGTTTACACCTCTGTAAAGAGTCCCTTGATTAAACTCTCTTCAATTACATTCTTTGTGCAAACCAGCTATTTCCTGCAGGACCCTGACAGAGACAAGCGGAAAAACACTCTTGCCTAATACTACTGCTTCCCTAGCCCCAACTAATTATCTGTGCCTCTTAGGACACATTATGAAAGGAGGAATATATGAAGCAAGAAAGTCACAAGCAGGAAGAATAAGCTCACACATCTTCCCATTGTCTCTTCTATTAGACAAGAGATGTGGGGATCAGAAAGCTGTCTAAAGATGACTAAAATAAAGCGACTCACAGCTGACACTGAGACTCATGACATAAGCCAAGCGCAGGTAGTGGTTAAAAGCTCCTTAGCAAAATAAAGTGAGGGCTACAGTTTTGAAATGATCACGGCCAAACTGACGTTCATGGGAGGAATATGCATTCCTCATGTGAGGCTAGACTGTGTTGTCTTCGGGGAGAAAACCAAGTATCTGCTTTGCTGAAACGTTTCTCCTCAGAGGGAACTGGTGAGGAGATGGGCCCCAGTCTCTCGCTGTGGGGAGACGGGCTATGGAAGCAGCCTCCACCAGTCTCCCCATAGTGAGAGACTGGGGTTCCTCTCCTAACTCAGAAGGCTCTCAGACTCCACCCGACCCAAGAGGGCAGGGACTGAAGAAAGGAAAGGTTTCATTCGTACCTGGACATAGCCTGAGGAGGCCGGAAGTACCGTAACTCTTTTGCTGTGGGAGAAAAACAGCACACTATCCTGGGAAGCAGACACAGGAGAAGAGGAGTCTGTCTGGGGAGAACACGGGGAGTGAGAAGAGCACCTTCAGGGGTGCCCAAGAAAACGCCTAACTCAATAGAGCCTCTTCCCCACGCTACAGGCAGGAGTGCAGGGGCCTGTGGGCCAAGGTACATCGGACCAAGGCATTATTTCTGTTCCTTCCAAACTATACTGCTTTGTAAGACCTACCTGACCATTTAATTTTTAAGATTACTTCCATCATCATCCCATTTGAGTTTGGTTTTGGGATAACTGGTGAGACAAGAAGCACTTAAAAAAGAGATTGATAACTCTTCCTAATCATCTGGCAAGATAAAATTCCAATAACCCCATTCCCGCCCCTATCTCCTCAGCCCAAAGGAGGCAGAGTCTAGTCTAGGCAAAGAGTCGGGCCTTCATCCAGGCAGAAGAGAGAAACAGGAATGAGTTCCACAATTCCACAATTCTCATCTACCACTCTTACCCCATAGGTTAGCAGGAAATAACCAAGTAAGACAGAAAAGAATGGGGCTTGGTCACACCTAGGTTCTATTTACTGTAGAGCCCTCCTCCCCTTGCAAATGTATAAACCCTTGCGAAAAGTTGACATAGGTGGAGCCATTTTATTTTTATTTTTATTTTTTTAATTGGGGAATTGGGGAGGGGGAACCAGCCAAGTTGTTGTTCTTCAATCTTAGTTGTGGAGGGCGCCAGTTGCCATCTGGTTGCCCGTTGGCAGCTCGTGGCCTCTAAGCTCAAGGTGCTGTGTTACAATGTTAGTTGCAGGTGGGTGTAGCCCTCCATTGACCAGGCAGCCTTGTTGTTAGGAGCACGTGCTCTCACCAGCTGAGCCATCCTGCCACCTGTGGGCAGCTCAGCTTGGGTGCAACGTCACTGGCCCATATGGGACTCGAACTGGCGGCCCTGTTGCTCAGAGCTCGCACTCTTAAGCTAACTCTTAACCAACTGAGCCACTCAGCTAGCCTGGCTGGCCCAGGTGGAGCCACTTAAAAATAGAGCCAGAGCAGCCATTCCAGAGGAACTGCTTGCTGGTCTTGCTCCTTAAGCCTTTGGAATGTTTGAACTGGGCAAAATAACCTTTGGACTGGGCCAAACCAACATCGTCTTACAAACAGCTATTTTAAAAACTAACAGGAAAGCAGATATCCTGACCACAAGCACTGACAATTGTGTACACTTTTTCTGATAATAAAATCAGTAATCAGTCATGTATAGCTCAAGAGTCATTTCAGTTGGTTAACACTGATAGAAATTCCTTTCTTCTATTATTTCCCCTCCTTTTCTCATAAAAACCCCATTGCCTTCACCCTGTAATTGGGACACAGTTTGGGGTTTTGCCTGAATCTGCTCTCCAGTTGCAATTCTGTGATCTCAAATAAACGGTTATTGCCTCTCATTTTGGCTTTTTGTTTTTAGGGTAACATCCTAGATTAAAATATAAGCTCCTTTAAGGTGAGGATTTGCAGTTCTTCTTCCAGGGCCCATGTTCTAAAAATTGGCTGTGAATTGTTCTGAACTGGTATAGGATGACACACAGACACAAAAATGCTTGCCATGAAGGAAGAGGTTACTTTTTAATATTCACAACCCCCTAGAAGCAGGAGGCATGGCACGCAAGGCACAGCCACACAGCAAGATGAGCTCCAAAACCAGGTGAGCAGGCAGGGAGAGCGGGAACTGTGGGCAGGAGCCTCTCCCTGGTGGATTTCAAGGAAAGAAATGGAAGAAGCAAGGCATGCAAGTGGAACAAACTTATGATTGGATAGTTTGGATAATTTCAGTGGCTCTGGGTTATAGGGGTGGTCCCCAGTTGTCTGGTACCTAGCCCTGTAGCGATTGGGGCAGGGGATAGTGTCCTGGACTATAGAAGTCTCATAAAGCACACAGCTGGGAGAATGGACTCAGAATTGGCTGGCCTGCATATCCAAGGCATTCTGGCAGGCAAATTGTTATCTCTAGGAATTAGGTAACTAGAGAGGGGCTGTTTCCTGGTCCATAGGCCCCCAAAATGCCAGAGCATCAAGAATACAGAAAAGAAGAAAATATAGTTAACAACCTAGAATGGTTGTTGACAGAGAAAAGGCCTTTAAAAAACATGTTTGTGGACTGACTGACAGACAGACTGACAGACTGATTGGCTGGCTGACTGACGAGAAGTTTAGATTAGAGCGCCCAAAGTCAAGTTAGAGAATTAATTAACAAGAGAAGGAATGATCTGGAACATTTTTTTTATAACCAAGCTTTCTTCCACATAAAGCAAATGTTATATGAACACTGGGCTATTTGGGCGGGACATTACAGTATGTGAAGAACTGTGTTATACTATTAATGAGTAGACAAAAAACATCTTTGGAGAACTTTTATTGGATGCTTTTTTGTTTGGCTTTGTAATGACAAGAATCAGTGCTCTAATTACAGTCCTCCTTGTCACTGATGCATTTTTTTAAAGGGCGTTCACAGGCGGAGTGTCTCAGAAATGTATTTTCAGAATTTGGGCTCATAAATCTCAAGATCTTACTGAAGTATGAAGGAATCATGCATGTCCAAAAAAGAACTCTGAAAGTAAATCAGAGAGGCTTTCTTAATTGGCTATTTGGCTGAATAAATTTTATGTGCAAACATTTTAGACAGACCTCACTGGATCTCAGGAAGCCTTGATTATAATTTCTATTAACAGGTAAAGCTCTTTTTAAAGAGAAAACCAAATGGTGTAAGTCCAAATTTTACTTTTGTTTCAAAATAATTTAGCTTGGCTTCTGTCATTTATATGTTGCCTCTAAGCCTAGATCCTTGAGATTCCAGTCAACAGGACTCCCTTGGGAATAAGAGAATATACATTGTTCTAGGCCTTCAATCTGCCA